CAAGAACGACTTGCTTTGACGACTTGAAAAAATTACATTAAAAAAAAAGAGCACCTGAGCAGAGAAATGAGTGGCGAACCACGATCGCCTATGTCTGCTTCAGACCATACACTCCATGATAATGATGTATGACTCTTATCGTCTATGCAGACGGTCAATTAAGCTTAAGACAAGCTGATAGTCTCAAGGTTGTCTTCATACAGCCTCTTCCATGGCTAATTCTTCCTAGATAATGATAATGGTAATTCGTCAGATATCGTCCCAGTTTTGGGGAAAGGACTGCAATAGCTCCCCAAGTCAATATGTCTAGCACAGTGAAGTCTAAACTAATTTACAATACTCGCCCGCGCTGGTCCTGCACCATTGCCATACACTCGCCGAATCTTCGTCCTCATATCCAATCTTTTTCATCGTCTGTCCTTCGTGTTCTGCTCCTTTTTTCCTCCACTGCTTCTGCCAGTCACTGCTGTTTTGTTTTGTTTTGTTTGTGGGAGGGCTTTTTGTGCTCTGTCGTGTTTCAGTTGGTAAAAAATATGCCCGTTCATATGCTACTTTTAAGAGTTATTTCTTTCAGAATTATTTGTATTTTATCTGTCTTTGTGTAGCTTGGTAAATGTTCCATTACTAATTAAAAGGTGTCTTGCAAGTATGTGTGGGTGGTGGCGGGTGCTCTAATTGTATGCTTGCTCCTTCCTTCCCATCAAACATCTATCGCCCTTGTCTCTATTCCTTTTTCTGTATGTTACTCTCAAGTAACAGCCCTAATCTTCGACACTTTCATGGCGTTATTGTTTTGCCAGTGCCGTAAAACGCTTAATAGAACTAATACAGTATTTTTCTCCAGCCCACGTTCATACCACAGCAAACCAATTAACCTTGATACATTATGGTACATACCTTAACATGAAACCGTATCCTCACTTGCCGTACGGTACCACTTACCTATAGAGATGTTTTCATTTTTTCGTTTACTCTTACTCAGCTTCAGTCTCTCTTCTTTCTAGAACATTCTAGTAGACCATATTATGCACGGTATCGATTGTAGACAATCTTTAAGTTCATTTTTTTTCACCTGAATTCTCGTCCTATTTTCTGCTAAATTTATTAAAGAGAAGTCGTTGCCTTGCTTTTGTTTCTTTGGGTGCATCACATTCCATGGACACTTTCGGGTACTTTCATTTGTCGGGACATTAAAACGTCAAAACAAACGTATCATAGGTATCATAGCTGCATAATATTGTAAAGTTCAATCGTTATGTCTGAGCTATGAAAAACATATGATCTGGACTTTCAAAGGGCAGTGCACTGAAGTCACACGAGAAACCTTCGTACAGAATCGCGTTATTAGTTTCTTTCGAACGCTTCAGGAAAGATTGCTGTTTCAGAAGCATTTATCTCTGACGCTTTTTATACGAATCAGTTTTTGCTATTATTGAAAATAGATATGTTCATGCCATAAAGAACAAGATAAAACAAAACAAAAGCGAAATCCAACTTCTTTTTCTGCCCTCACAGACCTTAGAAAAAAATGAGCGATAGTGTCGTTTCTGTGTTTGCGCGCATGTGTGTGTGTGTTTGTGTGCATATGTAAGTGTGTGTTTGCATACACTGGGAGGTGGTGGGAGCATCTATACAAACGGTAAAATAATACATTGAAGAACTGCAATTTATTAACCTACGGTTATTTAAAACAAAACAAAAATGTGCTTCAGAAAAGAGATCAAAGGAAGCCTGGAGACTGGTCACAGAGAATGGTGAACAGAAAAGTGGAAAGACGCGGTATAATGTCAAGAGGCTAGCACAACAGGGTAGGGAAGTGGAAAGTGTTTGTTTGTGGCCTGCACCCTGATACCGGCTGAGAAAGGCAATGATGATGATGATGATGATGATGATGATGATGATGATGATGATGATGATGATGTGCACGGAAAGCCTAAGGTATGCCTATTAATGTAATTGCACTTTCTTAGGTGTTATAATTTTGGAGATTATTTTCTCTTCTCTTCAACAGATACGCCATCGCAGTCACAAAGCGGCAAGATGGCGATTGGTCCTGTGAGCCGGGTAAAGCCTTCAGCGTACGATACGCTCATCTGATGACATCACTGGAAACGGAGCTTCAGAAAAATTCGAGGCTGTAAGGTAGCGTCAGAGGTGACAACTGGCTATGAAAAAAGAAAAGAAAAAGATCACGGACTCGAAATACACAGATCATAATGATTTGGTATGATACATTAATTTTGTATCAAGACTATTTTATACAGTCTCTGAAATTTGGTAATGAAAATCGACACTCTGTAGCGTACATTGATGACTCATCTTTAGTCATTACAACACAAGTAGCCTACAACTTTCTGAAAAGGAGACTTTAAAACAGAGACCATTTAAACTTGAGGTAGTACCACAGAGTTTTTCAGTAATACAATGTTACTGTAAACCCTCTCTGGTAGTACCCATGGACTTTGATCATTCTCACAACGTCAACATAATATGGAAAAGTGCGTAGTTGGCTGGGTCGGTACCATGCTAGACGGCGGAGCAAGCGACCCGGGTTGGAATCCCAACGGGACGTTGAACAATACGCTTAGTTTTGTTTCGAATGTCGTAATTGCTTCCCACCTACTTAGCATGTTCCTTTTCGAGGTGGGCGTTCAATTTAATATCCAACTCCTTTTGTTTAGTCGAAAGAGGAGTTAAACCAATTATGTATTATACTATGCCATACTTGCCATCTTACATGAAGCCACATGAAAAATACAAACAACGATCTGTGTCAAAAATCGATAAGAGTAGGCTTTGGCCGCAACCCGGGAAAAATTCAAAATTTCCTTCCAGCCGAAAATGTTTAATGTGTCCCGTGCGCTAATATGACCGTAACTAGTTGCCAGCGCCGTAAAACACTTACCCAACCGTGTCACGACGCGATGGACTCAGGCGCTCGTCAATTATTTATTTTTTTTTTTTGGTGGCAAATACAGCTGTTCGTATCATCAGTTCATTTAGCTTGCTTTAAATGAAAAACTAAACAAACAAACCTTGTTATCTTGAATGGGATTCTAGATATTTGCCAGTGAAGGAGAAGGAGTCGCCTTGTGTCAGAGGTAAAATTAGCGAGAAAATGGCCGCCAAAGTTTGGTCACTTCCAAATCTGAGTGTTATCGGAAACTGTATTTTCCCCTTTTTTGTTTGTTTGTTGTGCATTTGATAAACGTGCATCAGTAAAATCCACACAGAAATGTACTTTTAAAAGAACTATAAATGTGTTGAGCAACCCCCATCCCCCAACAAAAAATCCCAAACAAACAGAAACAAACAACCACAGAAAAAACCCCTAAATTTTGCCAAAACGAGCTGAAAAAATAACGTTTCTTTTGATTTTATAATTTTGACGAGCGCCTGATTTCACCTCAATACCACACATCTAGGAAGCTGGTAAATGCATAGACTATCATGTTCAGTTTTATGTTTCTAAACTGGTACTGTGTTGTTGTTTTTTAATCTGTAAAAAAATATAATAACGTTTATCTCGAAAAACCATGTTGTGTTCAGAAACATTATCATGTTTGCAAATACAGTGATATTTCCATTTTGATAAGATATTGCATTTAGTGTTGAAAGAAAACTACTTTATAAGAACTGATTGTTGTAGCTCATCAGGAAAAATATTTTTTCTTGTTATTAATAGCACCCGTACTGTGATCACACACGTACCTGAGCCTTGCATTCTGTGCTGGTGTTTTGAATGTCGTGTAGTCTGAGATTGGGTTTTGAGTGAATGGATTGACCACATAAATTTGATCTTGTATTTTGAATATGTGGTTTGTATTTTGAATGCATTTTGAATGTATGGCTTGTATTTTTTTGATGTATGGTTTGAGCCTGTATTCTGAGCATGTGGTTTCGGCTGGTATTTTGAATGTACCCTTGAGATCATATTTTGAAAGTATGCTTTTGGCCAGTATTATGGTTTGAGCATGGATTTTGATTGTATCGTTTGAGAGAGCTAGTATTTTGAGTGTATGGATTGTGGCAGTATCGTTCAAGCCTGTACTTTGAAAATTATAAGAATTGAGCCAGCAGTTTGAATGTAGGTTTAGGGTTAATATTTTGAGCATGTTTTTGAGCATGCTATTTGAACTAGCATTGTGAGTGTGTGATGAAGTCCACGTGGGACGCTCAATGTTAGAAACAATCAGGAAATGACAAATGCAGTTTTTGGGACACCTGAATAGACATAAGGGTCTTGAACATCTAG